TTATTGTATTGAAAATATCTGTAATGATCGCAAATAGGATTTTGTTTTCTGAATTTCGTATAAGTAGATTAGTCGTGTGATCGTCTACAAATGAATTAATATAATTTTTATATCGTACCAATAGATTTTTTTCTAGTACCATAACTACTACTGCTGACATCATTCTATGTTATTCTTGATAACATGTTATTAACAAATTATCACGTCTGTAAATATAATTTTATGATGAAAATTTATTGTCAAGTATATTGTTTGATTGTCTCATAACTGTGTCACCGAAACATATATTTTACACAAAGGTCTTTGACAAAGTATATATGTATATTTGAAATACTATTTTGTATAGATGGACACAATAGTTGAACCTTGAGTGCAAATCGATTTTTCTTGTCATTCTTTTTGTTCATGCTTTCGATCATTCTACCTTGAACTCTAATCCTCGTCATTCTCTATTCATTCACATCGATCATTCTTTACATTTTGTAATTTCGAGGTCGTATAAATGGCTCGAATTCCAGGGCAAAAGATTATTGCATCATCTACAATAAACAGTGTCATGAAGAAGTTCTGAGATAATATTCACATCAATAGAAAAAAAAAAAAAACTCTAACATGGGAAATTTCTTATTTTTTTATTTGTGGCTATAGTTTGACGTAAAAGAAGAAGCAAACTTGAAAAAATTGTCATTTTGATGAATTAATTATATTCAATAACTTAAAAGAAATTATTAATAATTCCTGTCAGTAGAAGTTCTTTGCATTACACATGAATCCCTATTGTACATTTTGTTCATATTTGAACGATTTCATAAGAGAAAGAGAAGAAAGAAAAATAAACGAAGAAAGAAAAGTAAAAATAAAAATTACAACATCCCATATAAGAACACAAAATAAGTTTGTATCGATGACTATTGTCATCTATTTCAATAAGAACTTCAACGTACTTGTTTTGCATTTCATTTTTTTGTGCATTTGACATTAACATATATATTACACACAGATACTCAAATTAAAAATAAAAGATACATGGATTTCATTTTTTAAAAATGACAAGTGTTTCAGAAACAGTTCTTTAATAGTTAAAAAAAACAGTTGCTAAGCTGATCCGTAAAAAAAAGAAAAGAAACATCAAATGGCATTGAATTAATATAGGTTTTTTTTTGTCTCAAGTGTATCTTTCATTTGTCAAAATATTTTTTTCTTGCTGAATGAACTCGGTTTTATTTATTTATTGTTTCTATATTTATCGTGCACTAATGAAGGACGTCTCTGTCACAGACATAAAGACAAACAACAACCGTAAAAATGTTGACGAAATAACAACACAACTTATACAAGGTTTTAATGACAAAACATCTTTATTATTCTTTGAAAAATAGATCAATTTAGAAAAAAAACCGAATTAAGACAGTATGAATTGAAAGTAATCTATTGTAGTTCTAAATTAGAAAAGAATAACAAAAAGAAAAAGAATTTTTAATCTATGATTTCTTGTTTTGGTCTTAACGTTTCTTTTTCTCATTTATATCCCATTTTTGTTTCTAGATAGTATTATCTTTGTTAACATGAAAGTAGATAAAATGAACGAGATGCAATATGATTTACAAACCGGAAGTATTTTACCTTCCTGACGTCATCATTTTTTGTCTAAAAAGTTAGACACAACGATTCATTCTATCATCACCATCACCGCCGTTGTTGCCTTACGGCGACGCTTATTCTTCTCATTAATATTGCATAATATCGTTGAAAAGGCGAGCAATATTTGAAGCGCATACAATGCATATGAACATATGATCGAAAAACATGATTTTGCAACCGGACAGCTGGTTGTTGTTACACACCTTTTATTCACATTCATATTTATTCATATAGGCAAGAAAAAAAAACCTCATTTTATCGAATGAAACTGACGTTGTCTTTATATTACTAAACGGAAGAGTTTACGAGATAGACAAAAACGATTGACGTAGTTTAATCATGTTATCATTTCGTTAAAACGGAAATATTTTCTATTGAAATATATCTGTATTCACCGACACAAAAACCCAACAAGACCAATTTAGATCTCATTGATCAATAAAAGTACTGCAAGTATATATTTGCAAATCGATAGTGGAAAAGTGTCTATTTTCTATATTTGAAACATAATCTTTCATTCCTCTCTTGGTAATATTATTTCCTGTAGAAAGAATCTTAAAATAAGATATTTAGCTAAGAATAACCACTAACAATGAGAGAAAAATTTACATATTACATGTTGACTCTTTAGTTAATAGGACTTAACAATTGAATTTCACAATCTCTTCTATCTTAGAGAGATATTTTCATCTTTTTTTTTTTGGTATGATCATGTTATATTGTTGTCTTCAAGCTTAATGTCATATTGTTCCTTTCCCTTCCCGTCCTCTCTCTCTCTTTATCCTCTTTCTCTCTTCTTCTCTCTCTCTTTCTTTTTCTCTCTCTCTCTCTCCCTCTCATTTTCATCGCCTTTCTCTCATTTCGTTTTTCACAACGCTAAAAGCGTCATCAGTTTAATACTATCTCTCTATTTGAAAAACAGACTCTTCTTTCGATATAGCATATCTATATTATCTTTATACATTTAAGAAATTAAGAAAAGTTTCTATTCAATCAGATCTATATTATTTCATTTATCTATCATGACCTCTCAATCATTATTCGACGTTTGCATTACAGTTTTTACATTTCTCATTCTCTTTGATCAACACACCATTACACAAGGTATGTTATATTATTATCATTGTATAATATTTTTTGTTTTTGTTTAATTTTTTAATAAACAAATAGAATTCAGGTTTTTTTTCATTTTTGTACTCTATAAACTTTCATTTTGAAAATTAACATATGTATTCGAAATTATTCATATCTTCATTTATTTATCCTTCCTTTCGTCGTTCATCCGCATTGTCATGAAGTAGACCCTTTTATATTGATGATATTCAAGATCGTTGAGTGACATATATGTACATATGTATATGTGTCACAAAATATACAATGAGTGGATGAAGATATATAGTAGTGGGTCAAGGGCACAGTGCGCGCAACGTGAAGGAAAATAAGATCAAGTAGGAGACATTAAATCGATATATTACTGATTGGAAAAAAAGGAACAATAGATGTAAATGAATAAAAAGAACAGGGCACCTATATTTTTTTCTTCCTGTTTCCAGAACGTTGACATATATATATATATATATATATATATATGTATGCATTATACAGGTCAACAAATCGTTGACTCATGTTTTAACGGTCAATATAGAAGTAATTATAAAATGTCTTTTTTTTTGTTCTTGTTTAGCTGGCAATTGTTTTAATCATCGTATTAATGATATGTGCTATGATCTTAGTGAAGTAAATGTAAGTGAAGAACAATGTTCTGGTCTATATTATTCGGACGATATCCTTAAAGAACTTGATGGATATGAGTATGCAGAAAACTGTCATGATGTAAATAGTAAGTAATAAAAGAACGTCTAATAGAATTAATATTATATATAAAATATATAATTATATAATAGTTGCACCAAAACTGTGTGATATCGATTGTGGTCTTGGTCAAGAATGTCAATGGATCGATGGTCAGGAAATGTGTGTATGTAGCGAGGAATCATGTACTTCAACTGATTCATTATCATCAATATATAATCAACAACCACTATGTGCATCAAATAATATGACATTTAGTTCAGAATGTGCAATGGAAGCATGGAAATGTCTTAAGCAACAGTCTGGTTTGTATAAAAAATATGACGGAGAATGTCAAAGTAAGGAATAAAAATTGAATTAATCAAAAAAGAAAAATATTTTTGTCAATTTTTATGATTTTTAATAGAAGATTGTCGAAATGTCAAATGTCCATATGATACAGTTTGTTTATTAGTTAAAAATACTGGTGAACCATTTTGTTATCCGAAAAGACATTGTAAGCCAGCATTAGATCCTGGACCAGTTTGTGGTACAAATGGTATTACTTATAGAAATATATGTGCTATGCGTCTTAGTCCAGATGCTCAAGGTCGAACACCCGACTTAGCACATAAAGGTCATTGTGGTAAGAATAAAAAAAAACAATTTCTTTTTTTTTTTTGGTTTTTATATAGCTGCTTTTTTTTTCAAATAAATAGAAAATAAATGTCGAACAAATTTATGTCAACCATATGAACATTGTGTATATTCGCGTCAGTCTCGTCCAGTTTGCATTCGTTGTCATCCTCGACGATTTTTTATTCATAGTGGTGAATGCAGTATGAACATCCCGGCATGTGGTGATGATGGATATTTATATAAAAATTATTGTGCTGTATTACGTGGACAATGTGAAAAAAATCGTTATATTAATATAATTGATTATGATACATGTCCACAAAATATGAACATGATGCGTAAGACATTTTTTTTGAAAATAAAAAAAAAAACTCAATTATATAAAACCAATTTTCAAACTTTAGAATGAAATGAGAGATTGAAGAATCATGGTTTACTATGGTTTCTTCGATATATATTTATTTGTATCAGCAAAGAATAGGAATAAAATCGAGGATAGATCTCGTAAAACTCTACTACATATGACCGGTGATGTTAATCTATTGTTCGTTTTCTTTTTTTTTCTCATGTATTGTTGTTCTTGTGCATTTGTTTCATTTTCTTGTATTCAGATCGTTTCTAAGCGAATATATTATTCGAGTTCGATATGTATGTTTTTTTGTTTTCTTTTTTTTCTGTTTCTGTTTTACTGTGATCAAAATTAAAATAATACAAAAAAATTGAAAAATAGAACTACTAAAAAAAACCCTTATTCTTTTTCTTTTCGTTGTAATTTGTATTTGAGTTTTTCTTTTTCTTTTTCTCTTATTTGTTGTCATTGTTGCCACCAAGTGTATATTTAAAGAAAAGCATTGTTTCATTTTCATGACAATGTGAGAATACATACGAACAATATTTATATTTATAAACGAACTATAGCAATGGAGATATTATGTTCGAATGAGAAATATCGATTGAAGAGCTACATGATCAGAAGGATAATTAGCTGATGGAAGACCATCCGGACCAATATCAGTTTTGGTTGGCAATTCTAAATAAGCCATAGGAGTTAAACTCTCTGATCGATAAAAAATATAATCAATTGTTTGACTTTCTTCTTTTTCACGTATTTCTTCTCGTGATTTAAATTTCCATGTTGTATATGATGGTTCATGATTATTCATTAAAACTCGATATGCACTATGAAAACCAGCTTTTAATAATATCTCATAAAATGGTTCATCTGTTTCACCATTAAAGTCTCCAGCTAAAATAATATTTGTCTTTGTTGTATATGTTTTATTTAAAAAATCGACTAATGCATTTGCTTGATTTGTACGAGACAAAGCGAATTGTTTTTTAGCCTTAAAATGTGTACCAATAAATACTAATAGAGATGATGATGGTATATGTTCTAATTCAAGAATTGAAAACACCTAAATATGAATAAATCAAGTTTTTCTATAAAAAAAGAACTGAAATACAATAGAATAAATACTTGTCGTCCAACTCGACCATCATTCGGTAAATCCGAATTACTTCGATTGATTTCTCTAAATATATTATTTTTATAACAAAGTAGAATACCATCTGGACCTTTAAAATTGTTTAGATCGTCTTCGAATGAAAGACATTTTGAATTTGGTTTTGGAGTAAAATAACAATTATATCTTAAAAATAAAAAAACAAATCAAACAAAAACTTCCACTCTCCTTCTTTTCTTATTTACCCATATTTATTTAACTGTTCTTTAAGAAAACAATCATATATATCCACTTCTTCTAATGAACATAAATCTGGTTGATGAATAAGTATTTGTTCAAGTATTCGCCATTTACGAGTTTCATATGCGACAAATTCATCTTTAACACGAACAAAATTACCTTCAGAATACGATAAAGCTTTAGAAAAGAAATGAGAATAAAATAATCATTATGTTTTTGTTTTGTTTTTTTATATTGTAAAAGAAAATACCTTGAGCAAGAATATTCCATTGTAAAACATTTATCGCATGATCACCAGTTTTTAATGTATAATTACTAATAAATCTTCGTTTCACACTTGGTAATAAAATATTCTGTTGAACTCTAAAAGAAAAGTTTTCGAAAGAAAAAAACAAAATTATTTTTCTTTTTCTTTTTTTTTTTTATTAATTTAATTTTACTCATGAGGAATAAATTCATTGTATGATGAAGCAGACATAGTTCATTTGAGATTTATTGAAAAAAACAAATCAGTTGTTCGAAAATTGATTTTATAAATGCAAATCAATTTTAAAATTTTAATTTTATTTTGTAATCAAAACATGAGTGTTCGTAATATTTTAATACTATTCTGATTTGAATCTTTTTTTTTTGAAGGCAACTGTTGTGAAAGTTTTGAATGATTGTACTCTTGTTAATGAATAACTTGACTATAATTATGCAATGAGAAAAGAAAATAAATCACAAAACAACATATGATTTAACCATTACTATCACTTCTTAGATGAGGTCGCCAGTATCAAAACAAATGACTTAATTATGAATAATTTTAAACTCTTCTACAGTATTTTAAAATTTCATTTTGATGAATTTAAATGACTCATATTCGTCGAATAGAATGAAATATTCAGAAATTTGCCTCCATGGTTCATTACTTTTTTTAAAAAAAAACACAACTTCATTTCGATCGATGATTAGTCAATGTATTCATACATTGATGAGAAACATAAGTAGACTCATCGTACAAAAAAAACTTAATTGTGAATTTGTAGTATATATGCTTTAGAGATTAATCATGAAGATTGAAAATAGACTGCTTTTTTAATCGTTTTCTTATGAAGTTTATTTGTACTTTTTTTTACATAAAATTTATTATCAAAAATTACAAAATAAAAATACTTTGAGCTTAATTACACTGTTTGACCTCGGAGAGATATATACGTTCTTCTTGTTTTTTTCAATAAATAAATATATCATCTACAAAACAACGGCCAACAAATCATTTTTTCCCACTTGATCTAGTTCTGGTTTATGCAGGCCGATACGTATTTCTACTTTTTCAAATCATTGAAAATCCATAATTGTACATTAATGTATCATTCTAGTTTCAATTATTAAATTTATTTCCATAGAAGTAACTGAAAAACAAAATAAATTATTGCACACAAATTCACGTTAAAGCCAAGGGAGATGTTATCATGTATCAGAGAATATCACAGGACAATTTTCGTTCTGTTCTGCGTTTTTTCCGGACATTATCATTCAGTCATCCTGTTTTGTAGAACAGTCCAAATCTGCAAGACGATCTTTTCATTGCATTTTTGACAAAGATAAAAACTTGTCTTTATATGAAGTACGATGGACGCACTATTTGTATAAAAATTATTTACAATATAGTCTTGTTAATAAACCTTATCACATATTTTTCAACAGAAATGAAATGAACAAAAAATAACAAATATATTTGACATTCATAGAATGAACAAAATAACAATAAACAAACACAAAGATACAAGAGTCAATATGTAATCAATATAAACAGATGGACAATGAGAAGGAAGAATTTTTGTTGTTATTGTATTTTCTTGAATCTTTCGTATGAACGAATAAATAAAATGTTATCAATTTGGTTTGCTGATAAACGTGTTCGTCACTGAGTAAATATCAATTCAGCTGAGCTAAATAATCTTTCCACCGAAGCACTGATAAGCTTATATGACATCTACTCTTCTGACTACTATTGATAATAATGGAAAATGACGATGCATTTCACTATTAGATCAGAACTTCATTGGATCACGATCAATTAGATGAATTGAGTGTCCTGCAGGACTCAAATATTATTCTGCAGACTCTGCGTCTTGCATTACAGGACGTTGCAGATCTTGTAGGATACATGTCCTATAACGTTCTCTGTCATGAATATCTTTCTTATACGAAAGATTTGGATAAAACCATCAAACATTAATAAAAGATATGACAATATGATACCACAAGAACAATTGATTTCAAATATTACATGAAATCAATGAAGCTTTTATATTGATAATTAAGTTAAGGTGACAATTAAATTTAAATAGCTTCGATATAGAATTATTTGGAAGATATTCAATGTGACTAAAGTAGCGATCAATAGAAATGTATTTTTGATATAATACGAAACTAATTGAAAGATGAACTATAATTAGAAAAAACTGTGTAGACAGATATAATCATAGAATTATTATTTATAAAAAGAATGAATAAGAATAACTATAAATAGTCTTCGAGAAAATTAAAAAAAAGATTTAGATGTGGGTGTTTGATACCTAATCAACTTTCCCCAAATAAGATAATGGTAATTCCTAATTCATCTTTCCATTTTGAAGATGTTTCGTCTGTTACACTGTCTAATAATATTGCAAGAATTTATTAATATCAGTTATTTTTAGAACCTAAATATGTAAATAAAAAGCTTTTCGTTCTAACATTGACATGATCTGTATTGTAAAGGGATAATAGACCCGTCTACATAACGACCTACTTTTATGAGCAAAACTGAATCTTAAAATTAAGTGACAAGAATATAACTATCTTGTAGCGCAAATACAAAGATCTAGGTTTTATTTATATAGATATATATATATCATGCTATTCAAGAGATATCACTAAGACCAATATTCATAATGTGTTTTTATCTTCTGACTTTTCATACGAAAAAAATTTATTACTATTTCAAAACGGGCATATGTTCTTTAAGTGCTTTATAGGCTACATCCAGATTGCGGACACTTGTTTTTGACCAGTTAAGGAAAAATAGCTGCATAGTAGAATCAATACAAGATTTATTATGTGAAAAAAATACAGAAAAAATCATTAATGAAACATATAAGAGTATCTAACATCTTTTACGTTCATACTAAAGATCATCCTTATAAATTGTATCAAATACCTTGACATATCGATAATTAAAAGAACAAAATCTCTTTTGATCACTATTAAGATTTAAAAGGTCATCTAAATATTCTTGCTTTACATGGATCAAAATATTTTCATTTGCCAGTGATGTGACTCTTCTGACTCCTGAATATATAAGAAAATTTTGATTTACATTACTAATTTCTTCTAAAATATTACAAAATCTGAATTAATTTCTCTTAAATCGAGCTATTCACACTGATCACCTTAGTATGTCTATTTTTTTACCTATTTCCATAATACGGACAGGTTTTTCCTTCAATTTAGAAAAAATGTTTGCAATCAAGAAGATGTGGCTTTGTATAGGCTCACTGGCCATAACAAGAGAATTAAGTTTTATCTCTTCTTAAGAAAGTAATTTACATTTGAATAGTAGTTCATGTATGAAGATGATGAATATACCTTCTAATTCATTTTTAGTCAAAAACATGATATTTCGGATTCTATAGATGAATTCTCTAACGCTAAATTTTTTATGCTCTATTCAAAGATATAATTGATTTCTTTTTTTAATGAATAATTTAGTTTTGTTAGAAAGAGCGTAACGAAATCACTGTAGAATGACTTACTCTTGTGTTCTTTTGGCAAAAAAACTTGAAAGACAGTTTTTCTCTTATGGACATGGTGGTTAATCATTGCTAGCGCATATCAGAGAAGAGTTCGAATTTAAAAGCGAAGAAAGCTGAGTCTACCATTGAAAACATAACAAATGATAGTATTTGAAATGGAAACATTTCTATTCCTGAGGAATATCAAGTACTCTGAACACGCGAAATCTTTTTTGCAGCTGGTAACTCAAAAATTTGTGTAAAAGACGGTAGTAGAAAAAGTCGTCAAACAAAGATCGGTCAGCAGAAAAAAATCTTCAATTAATATCCACGACAGAATTAAAGAAGGGCGGATGTAAGCTCAATAATTTGATAATGACAACAGATAGCGATCTGTGATTTGCAGAAACACATAAAGAAGAACTGTGAACATCTTTTTGTCTGATACTATATAGCACAAAATTATTTTAAAAACCATGATCTTCGCAAAACATTAAAAACAATGCATAAGAACGGTGTTCCGCCGTTATAAGAAAATTTTGACATAAAGTCAGAAAATTTGGTAAATATTAAAAGAATTCTATATAATTTGGCCGAATACATACACGATTTTATTTGCTCAACGTTGGAATATGAGAAGATAGTTATCTGAATCGTGTTTTGAACTATAGATTTGAAGCTTCTCTATTTGAAACACATGTCAAAATCAAAATTTTCTTGTAACTGCGGAACACCGTTTTCATATATTTTTTTGAATGTTCTGAGAAGATCATGGGTTGTAAAATAATTTTGTCCTATATAGCATCAGACAAAAAGATATCCGGAGTTCTCCTCTTTGGATTTCTAAAAACCGCAGATCGCTAACTCCCGTCGTTATCCAGTTATTGAGCTTACGCCCACCCCTCTTTAATTCTGGCGCGAACATTAGTTATTAATCGATCCGATACAGAGTATTCATTAATGCATGACCCCCGTATACATGTTAAATATCTCTACACCAAGATAATGCGTTCAAAAATTATCTGTATTTTTTTTGAAATTTCGTAATGAAACTCGCTTAGTGTATACTTTGCTTGTTTATGTTGCTAGTTTTCGCAACAAAAACGACGTCTCCAGATAGAATTCAGCAAGCTCCCTTGAACACAGTAATGTTGAGCATAGCTTGATTTAATATTTGCGTCCGTTTTCTAGGAATACTGCGTTACGGAATTTCATTAATGTCTGAATTTTTTGGTGTTTTTAGACCATTAAGCGTTTTGCACTGCTTTTCTCCATAAGTGTGTACACATTCGGAATTAGTATCGAATTCTGCACAAAATGAAGCACTTGATTAATTAAAAACTCACCTTATATTTTTCTCGAAAATTTCTCGGACCGAAAATTTTCTTTCCATTGGATTCAACTAAGAAAATACAACATTTGATGCAAAATCCGATGCTGTTGATAACAAATATCTGAATGTTTTTAGTTTTATTTTGTTTGCATCTTGATTCAAACTACGATTTTTAGAAAAAAGATGAGATTTCCTAGTGAATATTATTTTTAGTTTGCTATTGAATGCAGTTATGCTTGTTTAGAAAGGATCTGATATTCTGCAAGCTTGTTAAAAACTGAACAAATTGTATATAGAGTTTATTTGTGTGTCCCTTCATTTCGCAGTAAAATGCTAAACTCAGCTTCACTAAAAAGAAATTCCACAATAGTCGATATTTTC